TATGAATTTTGTCTTATGATATGTTGGTTATTTTTATATTCTTAAAAGGGTTATAAAATTTTGTTCTGGAATATGGTTAAACTATGTGGAAGCAATTTGATACCTTTGGGTCTTGCTTTTGGGCTGTGTTTAGTGGAACCAGAACTTAGCCTGGGGTTCGTTTTTCCCCACTGCTGAGGTAGGAACTTTCTTGTTCCTAATCTCAGCCTCATGAATCATGAGGTTTTCCACTCTGGATGATGGGAGTGGCCCCTGTCCTGGCTCTGGATGAACCCTGGGATAGCTTGTTCTTATCCTGTAAGGCGATTCATTCTCTGGCCTCGGGTAGATTTCCCCACTCGCATGCACCATCAGCTGTGGGCTGGAATCTTGCAGGGGACCCACTATGGCTCTCAGGTCTCTCTCTGTGCAATTTTCTCCTCTCCAGTCCTCTACGATGAAAACTCCGGCCACGCTGGTTTGCCTGGACTCTCTCAGCTCTATCTCCTCAGGCCAGGAGGAGGACCATCGAGTCCTTGTCTCTGTGTCACGGCCTGGAAACTCTCTGCAGACAGTAAGCTAGGCAGTCCTAGGGACCCCCTTGTTTGTTTTCCCTCACTCAGAGACCGTCAGCCTTCACTGCTTATTTCCAACCGTCCTGGGAGTTATTGTTTCACATATTTGCCCAGGCTTTTATTTCTGGCAAATCTAGTCCCTGATGCTCCATCTTGGTCAGAAGCAGAAGTCACACGTTGCTTTTAATGCATTTTAACATTTCCCCTGAGGCAGCCTCCAGCCGATCTGCTTTCCTGGGCTTATCTCCCACCTCATAATTACTGTTTTGGTTAGTGCTCTGGTTTCAAAGCTGAATACATTGGGGTTTTCACCCCCCATTTCCCTTTCATTTGAATATGCAGTTTTATGGTATGTATTGTTTCTGAGGAGTTTGTATACGGTGGTATAGTAGTTACAACCTGCACAATTTTAGACCCATCATAGCATGATTGGCATATATTTTAAGCAAAAGCAAGAGACTACATCAAGACATATTTTTACTAACCTTTTCAAAAATGAAACGAAATGGTCAGCTCTTTGAGGGTAGGTTTCATTTTGTGTAAATCATTGTATTTTCCTTTCCCCATAATGCCCAGCACATTGATCCTCAAGACCATTTGTTGATTTATGGGTTGACCAGGAATATATTATTTTCATTCTTATGATTATGACTAGGTATTATATATTAACTGTCTACTGTAAATTAGGTACTCTACCAGGCACTTCATACAGTATCTAATTCAGCCTTCACTATTGCTCTGTGATACAGAGATTTTGTCCCTCTTTACAGACAGGGAAATGAATTCAAGGAAGATTTACTTTGCTCAAGATCCCATGGCTAATAACCGATGCTATTGAGACTGTAAACCCAGGTCTGTCTGATTCCAAAGCCCAAGCTCACTGTACTGCTTTGTCCTCTGTTTCATGAAACATGACAAAGCTTAGCGGTTCTCTTCTCTAATAGGAACTCTCCCTTATTTTCTCTCATTCTCTTACAGGAGGGAATTTTTCAAAAAGCCACGTTAGGACAGTCCAGTCCAGTGTGCAGCAGAATTGGGTTAGGAAGCACGCACCTTGAGTTTTCTGAATTTCTGAATCAGATTTGAGTCCAGGAATAGATTATGTTCAGTAAACACAATAAACTAAACTTATGCCAGAGTCCCAGTTTCCTTTTAAAACATCTACAGCTTCTGCCAATAGAGATATACTTATTCCTCGGGCATACTCTTGTTTTCAGTCATGACAGGCAGTGTTGCTCACTCAGAGACTCTTTTCAAGGCCACCCAAAAGCTTCTCTTATGAAGGGCCTGAACCTGATGAAAAATGGAGTTTTGATCTCAAATAGTTTTCTTAATAATGCTGTGGCATGGGCATGTTCCCTGAAAGAGGGAGGATAAAATTATATTGGCCTCACAATGGCACGTCTTACGGGCTCCCACGTGATGCTCCTCCACACCCAGGAAGCTAGATTTCATATAATTTGGGGGGTTGGGGTGGAGCCTGCAGGGGTCAGAAGCAGGGGCCTGTCAGTGGAGGAAGTCAAGGAATATGAGCCCAGATTGTCCTCACCAGGGGAAAAGAAGCCCAAATTCATGGACAGGACCCAAGGTTTACCTGACTTGCCTTCCATTTCAGTCAAGGTTTAGCATCAGGGCACTGGTGCCTATCACGATGGCAACCAGGGATTATTTTTATTAAGCATTTTGTGTTTGCCTAAGAGCTTTCAGTCATTAATCATCGAACTCTTGTTCCCCTTGAGACTTTTGCAAAGTAAATGGGAAAGAAATAACCCAATTCTTATTTCACAGATAGAGGAACTGAAGCATTTTTGTTTGCCCCTGTTACCCACCGAAAGAGTTAAAGCTGTGCATTAGAGTTTGCAAGAACCAGGCCAGGAGGCTGATGAGCTTTTGTTTCACCACAGAAGCGAGGTTTTCTGTTTTTACACCAAATGAGCTTGCATAGTTTTCATTTTGGAAGCAACATGATCGATACTGAGGTGTACTGAAGGGAAAAAAAAACTGACTTTACTTCCTTTCACATAGTATGAAGGTTTGACTGAGTTCCCACAAAAATTTTGGAATCCAAACATGCATTTAGGTTTAGTTGTAAAGAATTGTAAGGCATTACTAATCTTTTAAATTTTTTTTTTTAATGTTTTATTTATTTCTAGGAGAGAGAGAGAGACAGCATGAGCAGGAGAGGGTCAGAGAGAGAGGGAGACACAGACCGAAACAGGCTCCAGGCTCTGAGCTGGCAGTCAGCACAGAGCCCGACGCGGGGCTCGAACCCACGAACCGCGAGATCATGACCTAAGCGAAAGTCGGACGCTTAACCGACTAAGCCACCCAGGCGCCCCGTGGCATTACTAATCTTAAGTTTTCTACAAACAAAGAGAATATAAGCAAACACATCCAGTGTGGTTGTGAAGAGCTAATAGCAAGTTATACTTTGCGAGGATGACGTGGGGATTTTCCTGCCTGCCATTAATGTGGTGGGATTCCTGGAAGAGGTGTGTTTTGAATTTTAATTAAAAAAGAAATATTTCAGAGAAGGTATGTTCTTACCCCCAGATGAATTGAAATATCTTTCTTTCTTTCTATGGAGTGTAAACACCATGAAAAAATTGTCAAATATCACAAGAAGAAGGAATTGACCAAGAGGTCTACGGGGCACATTTCAGAGTAATGGAGAGGAAATGAAGAAAGGTTTTCTGACAGTGAGATTTTTCAGGTCTATTAACAATGAGGTAGTTGAGGGGACAGATGAGTTAGGGCGGTAGAGGGAAAGGTGTCAGCCAAAGGCTTTTAAACTAGACTAGATAAAGCACGGAAAGATTACTTAAGGACTCAGCATGCCCTCTGGTGGGGGTAGGAAATACAGTTAGAGCCAGGACTAATCTACTTCCTTTGACATAAGATAGACTCTGGATTCAAATCCACATAGAAACCATGACTCAAAGTCTGAGGTTCCTCTTTTTTAAATTGGTATCAACAAGTCCTACCTTATAAGTTGATGAGTGAAATTAAAAAATAATCACTAAGTATTTACACGGTATGTGGCACCAAAAGCAAATTTGGGTCATATTGGATCTGAATGTTATACAGTATTGGAGGCCATCTTTAAGATAAAGAATACACTTAAAGAAAGAAAGAAAGAAAGAAAGAAAGAAAGAAAGAAAGAAAGAAAGAAAGAAAGAAAGAAAGAAAATACACAATTCTGATTATATAATTAGATAGTAAAGCAAATACTTATTTAGAATGAGAAAAGAAATCATAACAAATCACTTTAAAACCCCCAACAAACTGAGAATAACCAAAAAATCAGAAAATCCAGGAAAACAACATGATGTTTAAATGTATTAACTACCTAAAATACCTGTTTTGTGCATACATATGTGTATGTGTACACATACACAATATATATGTGTGCTGTATATGCTGATGGCCTCTTAATTTGACAAAAATTCTGTAATATGTAGAGAGAATGTGAATGTGTTTTAACTTTCCTCTAGTATGATCTGTCAGAATTTGCTTTTTATTATCAATAGTTTAGAAAAAATTTTTTCAGTATCACAACTTCGGTGTAATGTCCCGCATAATTTTATGATTGTTGTCCAATTTGGGAAAAGTTCAAACAAGGTTTTTCACATGAGTTAAGATTTAGGTGAGTCTTTCAAGGGCTAGCTTTCTGAAATGACTCTGTACATTTCAATTCTTCTTTCTCCTCCTCATCCTCCTAATGTCAGGGCTGGGCATTGTAGAACGTAGTCCCACCCCAGCATGATATACCATGACCCTCCAGCTCACTGACTGAACAGAGGATAAGAGAGTTGAAGTCCATTCCTACATCCCAGTGGCTAGCATCAACTATACACAAAAGTGATGTGAGCTACAGAATTCATGTGCCACTCAAGCTAAATATATCTTCAACTCAACTCCAAAGCCAGCCTTCACAAAGGGAGATGTGGCAGTGGGCAAGTCAGTCACCAATTAATGAATTAGTGTTAAATACTTTAATTTTGTAAATTTAAAGAAACATATAACCATGCCCACACATTGATAGAGCTCCTACCAGGGCCTTGGAAGGGTCTCCTGCCATTAACTTCATGGTCAACCACCTCTTCATGTCGTATAGGCATGCCAAACAGTTCTGTCCCCCGTATTGGCAAGTATTACTCAAAGTGAGCAAGATGATGGTAGGGATTTGGGGTTACAAATTCAGGAGCCTCTGGAAGGCAACAACTTGTCCAGACACAGAGATGAGATGATGTTTCCTTCAGCACTGGTGAATCTAAATTAAACTGAGTTTTGAGGATGTGATGGTGCCCTATCAGAAGGAAACTCTTTGCCCCTTCTGTGTTTTTCTGGGTGTTTTCCTGCAATGTCAGCTAGTTACATTTGAGTTTACAACTCATCTTTGAAATTACTATGATTTACCGGACTCTCGACACTTTCATCTTTCAGAAAATCCCTTCTGGGAGCACCCTGATCCCCTGGGAGCACTACAACACCTGCAGGTGGTAGAAGTACACTGGTACGTTTCTCAAACCTGCATCAAGGACACTCCACGTGGTCCTTGGCTGGGATATTTTTGAGGCTGGTGCAAGCAGCAGTGGGGAAATGGGGGCCTGGTGGTATGGTGGTCATTCCAGAAATGTAACCCCTCAGAAACGTGCTACCCAGCCTCTTATAAGAAGGGTAAAACAAATAAAGCTGCTGCCTATTTGGAACAGAGTGGCTGGCTCCTTCCACATCTGCAGGACATTTAGCTCCTTGCATCTGGTAATGTTTGTGCAAATATAATTCCATATTCACTAATAATTCCTGGGGCTAAAGGCCCCCCCTTGGGTAACCTTGTTAATATTCTCTCAAGGCCTGGTGTGAACGCCTCATAGCATTTTGATTAGAATTCAATCTTGTGTTTTTTTCCCCCCTCTCTGTCTCTCTCTCCCTCTCTCCTCTCATGCTTTTCTGGCCCCCGGTTTCCTGGCCACCCACATCAGGAGACATTCTCCCTCCCTTCCACTCTCCATTCTCAGTTTCAAGGAATTTCCTTGTGTCAAAGGCAAAGTGTGATTGACATATTTTCCCCCTCTTAAGAGCAGTCATCTCGGTGCTTGATTTAACCATCTCCTTATGGGGCTCGTACAGTCATTACCTGGGTGGAAAAGAGACCTCCTGGTCACCCTCACGCTCAGACCCACGTAGCTCGGTATTTTTGTAGACTCTTAAATTGCTGCTGCCTTTCCTCTTTTTTCTACCCTTTTCTTTCTTTTTAGTTGGCACTAGCAAATGATTCCCTGGTGTGTTCCCAGGTGTGTACCCTGAGCCGTAAGGGTTTGCGTTAGCCGAAAACAGGTAGACCGGTTGCTTCCTGCCAGCGCCCTCAGCCTGCCAAGAAAAGCATTTGCTGTTCTTTAGATCCGGGTGGGGGAGGGGGGGAGGAGGAGAATGAAGATAGAATGAACTGTCTAATTTTGAATTCACCTTTAGGCCGGTTGTTTTCCTTTTTGCCTTAGACTTACTTGACCAGCTTATTTGGCTCTCAGGAGAAGAAAACAGAAAACAGAAACAAATGCAAATTAGCCACAGCATGAAGAATTGTATTTAAACCCAAGAGGAATTTCTTGGCAGTGACGTTCTTAATGTTGGAGTGATTCTGGAATGCAGGCACCCTCTCGCAGGCTGCCTTATCATTGAATTACTGTGGGTTCTGAGGGTTTCTGCCCCAAGGGGATGAACTAGATGACCTTGGAAGGTCACTTGCAGCTTTTCAGTTTAGCAGGAATGCCCATCTTTTCTGTGAAGTGCCACACTTCTCACAGGATTGGAACAGATTCTCTCTTAAGGGGATTGCTCAGGTCTCTTTAGAGTTGCCTGAATCTCATCTCCTGCCACTGAGTACGATAAGCCGCCCACTCAGAGCTCCCAATTGCAGGCAACTCTGTTGTGTCACAATAATTGCATTCTTCAGTAACCTCCTGTGCCCCAATCCTGTTGTTTCAGAAGGAAACAGAAGTGCTAGAAGATAGAGCCTTGGATTGGCAATAACAAAGTTGATTTTTTTTCCTGCAGAAATTTCAGTGATACAGTTTAATAGAATGGAAAGCTCTCTGTATATAGCCATATTATTTTAATTCACTGTGGAAAGCATTCAGTGTGACATTTCACTTTTAATCAGGAGTAATGGCCTGTACGTAGCGATTACGAAAAGCGCTCTTAGTAATGTAGCGTGACATAAATACTTGCCTGTTGTAATTATGATCTGTGTTATGATAAACAAAGCATAATGCCAACCAAGCAAAGCAGGCATATGGTCCTACGTTGAGATTAGCAGCAGAATGTGTCCTGTACATTGTGCTTTGAGTGACCTTGGATCTCATTGCTTTAGGAAAACTTGGCTGGTAGAGGAAATGCCAGTAACTCCCCGTTATGTCCACCACACCCCTAAGAATCTGTGTCAGCCCATGGTACTCCCAGACCAGTATCTGAGTTGGAAAGTAGAATGAAGGGATTTGTTATTCTGTGTGGGATGTGGAAAGTAATGATTACCCTGAAAAATACTGTCTTCAAAAGGTTAGGATGGACTCTAGGACATTTCTAGGTTACCTCAGTTTCCTCTTAGAGGGTCCCAAGAGCCACTCATTGAAGTCAGGACCTGAAGAACTCCTGTGATTCACAATGTCTCTAAATCTTTTCTGTACCCAATATCTACATTCAACCCATATGGATGGAGTAGTACTTCCTTTTGTTTGTTGTGTATCTGCTTCTTTTAAATTCAGGGAGTTTCACCAAGTGTCGTATTCCAGAATTTGGTTAAAGTGTGTATGATTCTCCATTTCCATATCCTCCATGACTTGGAAAACTTTAATCAGGTTTTTAGTGCACACTCCACCCGCCCGTTCCCTCTGCCACTCCTTTCATCTTCCCAGATGGATAAATAGGAGTTTCCAAAGCTTGTCCTCATGTAGAATTCCTTCCTCTCCTCCTAAATTTTGTAGTTGATGATATCCAGAACCTTCTTTCATACCTAAATTACGGTGAATGGTATTGCATATCTCAGTGTATGTTGGTTTAGGCTGGATATATTCTTTTCCAGAAGAGTAGGTCCATGTCCTGCTATTCAGTTTTTCTGTAATTTTTCTGTGTTTAAGGTAATGAGACCAACTTTATTAGATAATCACCATTAGTAAGTTTATAATACAATGTCAAAAATTTCTAATATCTTGAGAAGTGGAAATAATTTTGAAATGAAAAGTTATGTGGAATGCAAAAATATGAATGAGTTGTAAGCTATGTGATATTTGGGGACCAAAGCCCTCCTCTGGTCTCTGAGGTACTCCACAAAACTAGAGAGTTCCATGAAACATGCTTTGAAAATCACCAAGCTTACCAATCACGAAAGTGAGCACCAACCACTGTGCACTTTAAAAAGCTGGAATTTAGCCTAAAATGCATGCATCCCCATGTCTTTAACCAAGTGTTTGCTTATATAACGTATCACTTTGAAATGCATCCTTTATTTCAGGTCATTCAGATGTCCCTCAGGCTCACCTGTTCATGGTTATATATGAGGTCACATACACGATTCAGCACGAAGGGCCCTGACATGATAACCCTCACCTGTGGAGCAGTCCCAGCCCCACTCTTCGGTGCTCCTACCCTCTCATGTTTCACAGGGAGTCTCTAGAAGGTGTCTTGCTTGTGTCACCGTAGTCAGGAAGGACAACTTAGATACCTGGTCCCTGACTGTAAAGTGGCTCTGCTGCTCTAGAAAGCTCTGTGTGATTCTGCCCAGTGCCAGTGCTTTCCGAGGTCACTGCCACTACCAACCACTACAGGCCCTGGGGGCTGCCCAAGGGCAGACACAGACCCTCTCTGTAAAACCTAACAGCATAGCCAAGAACAGATTGTAACACTTAATATCATTTTTTTGGTACAGCTCCAGATATACAAATATGGAATATATACACCAAAATCACCCTTCAGCTGCCAGCTATCCATCCTTATATGGTCTGCTACAGACCACACTTCTGCCCTGATACTGCAGAAAAACTTTCCACCCAATCCCCTTTCCATCCTTATTGTTTTGCTACTGAAAAAACAATTTTATTTGAGATGGTGATGAACTAAAAGAATATCTTTCCCAGCCTCCCTTGCAGCTAGGTATGGTCATAAGACCGAGTTCTGGCTAACCCCGTAGACTACTGGGGGCACTCCTTGCGGGGGCTGGTAAAACTGGGAGATGCTTCCTTTTCCCCTTCCTGCTGCCCGAAAGGAGTTGTGCGATAACACAGGCTATGGCAACCATATTGGAACATGGGATGGTCTCTCGGCTGGATGCCAAGTGCTGAGGACAGGAGAGCAGAAAGAAGGTGGAGTCACTGATTACTTGGGGGAGGTCACCACAGCATCCTTGGCAGAGTGACTTCTTTGTGTGAGTTTGGGCGTGCTGTAATCTGGAGGCAGACCTAATCATAGCACAGCAGCGATGAAGAACTTGCTTTCCTCCCTTGCTGTGGGGCTCCCAGGCTCCCGACCTGGTTGCATATGGCAGAATCCAGTCTGTCTCCACTGTGCCGGAAAGCCCTTTAGCTGGCCAGACTCCTCAGTGTCTCTTCCCGAGAGAATCAGAGCCCAGAATGAAGTAATCCTCTCCCTCCCTATGTTCTAGAACCGAACTGCTGATTTTTCATCTCCTCACCCAGAAGCCTTTTCATAATAATTGAGAATTATCCCGGTGATTCCTTTCAGACCCTCTTGTCTGCCCGCAGGGGTGTGGCTTCACCTGCTGCTGCCAGTAGTAAGCCCATGGGGCCCAGTTTCAGCCACAGCTCAGTGCCTTCATCTGATAAATGGGGAAAACTTTAAATAAACATAAACCACAAATGGTTTTAAAATATACTCTTAAGTATTAGTTTTGGAATCTCTACAAGAGTGCTTCTTAAATTTTATTTTTGGCTCATCTAGTTCTTGGCTGATCTTACCCATATGTGCATCTTCTTAGATAGAGAGCAACACATGGGTAATTAACCCAGAAATGCACACACAGACTGTTGCATTTACACATACATGCACAGAAAGATTTTCGTATATACAGCCTCTATATCCTAGCACATTAATATGCAAACTCAAAGGAATATGGATTGAGCTTTAGTTAATAAGAAATATAAGGGATAACCAGATATAGCAGCTAAGAAGACCAGGCAAGTAGATCTCAATGAGCAAAGTAACCTCCATGGGACTCATTTTAATGGCTTTTCAGTAATATAATCCTTTGTGCCCCCGGGATAGGCCTAATGAGAGGCTGGTTAGAAGAGATGGGCCTAATGGACAGTCCAGTGCTTCCGCTAAGTTGGTCCGTGTCACCCTGGTCATTTCAAGGGTCACTTCTTGAGAGCAGAACTATCATGAGCTCTCATGAACTCCTTGATAGTAGCAGGGAAGGGTGATCTTGTTTTCCAGCTTCATCATAGGCACCCAGCCAGATTTCGAAATACAGATGATTAATACACCCTGGGCGGACCCCCCCGCCCTCCACAAGACTGTCTGACCCTCACTGGGTCTGAATGCAGAAGGGAGAGAACAAGCAAAGTAACCGCTTGGATGCAGGAGATGGTAGAGGGAAAGGGAGCTAAAGTCAAGCCTCTGTGCTGACATCTAATCCCCGGCCTGGGAGAGCTGGTGTGAGCTTTACACCCTGCCACAGTAGAGATTTCCTAGGATTTTGTGCAAGGAATAACAGGCCCATTGCTTTCCTGGAGAAGCTGCTCTGGAGATAGAGACAGACAGAGAGACTGAGACATTTTGTTTTTCTTTTCATATTTTCATTTTTTCCCCCTATTTACGTCCGTGAATGTTCCCTTGCCCTGGTGTTTGAATACTTCTGTGTGCTAACCACAGCCTGGCCCTGCTGTCCCTTAGCCAAATTACACACATTTATGTCTTTTCATCTCTCTTTATGAACCAGCCTCTCCAGTCCATTTAATCATTTTGGCAGCTCTTTTCTGAATTCCACCCAATTTAAAAATAAGCTAAATTCTCCACCCCTGTGGATTGAAAAGCAGGCTGTTGCAAACCCATGGAGAGCTCCAGCCTTGGTTTGATGCATACAGAGGAAAGATATCCCCTTGTTTCCAATTCCCTATCCCACAGCCTGGAAAGGGCCAGTGGAGGTGGGGAAAGGGACAGGAAACTTGGCTGGTCAGAGCTGGAGAATAGGATGACCGAGCTGGGGGTTCTTTTCAAATTTTCTTATTGATTGATGATTGACTGGGAGAGACGACAGTCAAATTTGGTTCCGAATCCAAAAAGTACAAAAGTGTGTACAAGGAACAGAAAGTGTTGCTTCTGTGCTCACCACCTTGTCACCCAACTCTGAAGAGGCATCCAAAGTTACTTGTCTCCGTACCATTCCAGAGATATTTTATGCACATGTGACCAGTGTGTATTTGTGTGTGCATGTGGGTCTCCCCACCTCCATTTTTAGACCAATGGTGATACATTATATGCATTTCTCTCCTCTTTTATATTACTCTTAGCAATATATCTTGCAGATTTGGAGATTGGTCCATATTCACACATAAATAGCTCCTTCTGTACTTTTTATGACTGTATTGTATCCATACCATAAATGTGCAATTGTGGCCTGCAATTAATGAGGATTTATAGTCTTAGTGACTGTTTATGGTCACTCTCAATAAACATCTAGGGATCTTACCAATTTTTTATTACTGGCAATGCCTCTTTGAATAGCTTACATATTTTGCACATATGTGAGTGGATTTGTAGCATAAAATTCCTGCATTGAAAGGTATGTGCATCAGGTTGTCTCGTTCAGATTTGACTGGTTTGTCAATGACTGTTTCCCCACACCCACACACATACACACTTTTTCAGAACCTTGACTATCTCTTGGGGTGAAAAGTAAGTCATCTTTGTGTATCTGTTATGAGTGACATTGGTTTCTTTTCACAAACTTAAAAAAGCCATTTGAATTCCCTTTTTAGTGGCCAGTTTATTTCCTTTCTTTACATTTCTATTGAGTTGTCAGAGTTCTATTGATTTGGAGGGGCTTTTTATATATTACGGAGATTAGCTCCCTGTGATTTAAGCTGCAGATATATTTTCCTGTTTGTCATTCTTTTCTATTTACATAGATAAATATATTCACCTTTCATTTCATGATTCCTGGGTTTTGGTTTTGTAACATATTTAGAAAAGTTTTTTCCACTTTGGGATTGCTTTTTAAAAATCCCATGGTTTTGAAGCACCTGGTGACTCAGTCAGTTGAGTGCCTGATTTTATTTTTGGCTCAGGTTGTGATTCCAGGGTCATGGGATCGAGCCCCATGTCAGCACGAAGCCCACTTAGGATTCTCTCTCTCTCTCTCTCTCTCTTTACTGCTCTCCCCCACTCATACTCTCTTTCTCTAAAAAAAATGAAAAATCAATTTTAAAAAATTATGAAAAACTCATAGTTTCTTCTAGTATTCATATAAATGACAGGTAAATCAAATTTTATATTTTTAAAGATGGCTACCTGGTTGTCCCAATATCATTTATTGAATAATCTATCTCTTATCCATAGATTGGAAATGCTACCTCTAAAATATATAAACTCTCTGTGGAGAAATGGGCACCCTCCTACACCGTTGGTGGGAATGTAAACTGGTGCAGCCCCTCTGGAAAACAGTTTGGAGATTCCTCAAAAAATTAACAATAGAACTCCCCTATGACCCAGCACTAGCACTGCTAGGAATTTACCCAAGGGATACAGGAGTGCTGATGCATAGGGGCACATGTACCCCAATGTTCATAGTAGCACTCTCCACAATAGCCAAAACATGGAAAGAGCCTAAGTGTGCATTAACTGATGAATGGATCAAGAAGATGTGGTTTATCTATACAATGGAATACTACATGGCAACGAGAAAGAATGAAATCTGGCCATGTGTAGCAACATGGATGGACCTTGAGGGTGTTATGCTGAGTGAAATAAGTCAGGCAGAGAAGGACAGCTACCATATGTTTGCACGTATAGGAGGATTAGGAGGAGCTTAACGGAGGACTGTGGGGGAGAAGAAGGGGGGAAATAGCGGGGGAGAGGGAGAGAGGCAAACCATGAGAGACTCTTGAATGTCAAGAACAAACTGAGGGCAGATGGGGTGAGGGAGGGGTAGGAGGGTGATGCGCATGGAGGAGGGCACTTGTGGGGATGTGCACTGGGTGTTATATGGAAACCAACTTGACAATAAATATTTTAAAAATAAAATAAGATATATAAACTCTCCATTGCATTTGTACCTCTTTTTGAAATTCCTAATCTGTTTCAGTTACCTGTCATGCCAGTATCACATTTTAACTGGCTGTAGCTTCAAAAATGGATTTGTTGTTTTTTAAAAAAGACTGGATGGGGGAAAGGGGAAAGTGGGTGATGGGCATTGAGGAGGGCACTTGGGATGAGCACTAGGTGTTGTATGGAAGCCAATTTGACAGTAAATTATATTTAAAAAAAAAAAACAAAGACTAAAATTCCACCCAACAAGACATTTAGTTATTGAGTTCTGAGTGGTGGGATTAGAAAGATCATGTCTTCCTTCTTCCTTCTGTTACAGATTGCATAATAAACTGGCTTTAGCCTAAGTGTCCATCAATGGACGAATGGATCAAGAAGATGTGGTTTATCTATACGATGGAATACTACATGGCAATGAGAAACAATGAAATCTGGCCATGTGTAGCAACATGGATGGACCTTGAGGGTGTTATGCTGAGCGAAATAAGTCAGGCAGAGAAGGACAAATATCATATGTCTGCACGTATAGGAGGATTAGGAGGAACTTGACGGAGGAACAAGGGGGAGAAGAAGGGCGGAAATGGTGGGGGAAAGGGAGAGAGGCAAACCATGAGAGACTCTTGAATGCTGACAAAAACTGAGGACTGATGGATGAGGGGGGGAGGGTGGATGGGCATGGAGGAGGGCACTTGTGGGGATGAGCACTGGGTGTTATGTGGAAACTAATTTGACAATAAACTATTTGTAAAATAAAATAAAATAAAATAAATGTTTCGTTGATTATTTGTAAAAAAAAAAAAGTTTATAAAAGAATGCACCAAAAAATTGATTGTTTCACAGAAATAATTCCCCTTATTACTCTTGTCTTTCATAATTTTCTTGTTTTCCTTGTTGTTGTTTTCTTCCAGATGAATTTTAGAATCAGGTTTCTAGTTCATAAAAATCATTTGGCATTTAAAAAATCAGGGTATGTTACATTTATAGATTTAGGGAATATAGGCATCTTTACTATATTGCTTGCTCCTCTCCAACAGTATGGTATGCTTTGTTTGTTTGTCATGTGCATTTCTCTGTGTGGGCTCATTTTAAAGTTTTATTTAAATTTTTACTTAAAAGTTATATTTGAACTTTTATAAATCATGCCTGTTCCATGGTAAATTTTTTTGGTTGCTATTATAAATTGAGATCTTCCATCATCTCCTCTAACCGATTGTATGTGTGTATGCTTTTGCTTTCTGCTGATTGAAAAATTTTGTAATCACCAGGCACCTTCCCAAAGTCTCTTCTGTTCTGTTTCTCTTAAGGTTCTTTTAGGCCCAGGGTTTCTCAAGCTTGTTCTATTGGCAGTTTGATCCAGATAGTTCTTTGTTGTTGGGGCTGAGGAGGGAGGTATTACCCTGTGCCTTGAGGGATATTCAGTAGCATTCCTCAGATCCATTGGTGGTGGTCAGCGGGTTGCCCCTGATTATGAACCACTGTTTCAGTCCTTAGTCAAGGGAAGGTCTTCATTATCCCCAGCCACTCTCAGCCCACTGCTCTGTTGGACACTATTGGATCTAATCACGAGAGTAGAAATAGCTGAAGCCCAATGTTCTGTTGTGAGACCAAATGAATGAGGTGATGGTTATTCAAAGTTTATGGCCAAGCTACATAATGGAAGTCAGTCACAGATACGAATCTCAAGAGTTTAAAAGTTAAAAGAAATACAAAGAGGAAGGCAGGATCTACTGCTTCTGTATCACACAGCTTTGATCTTAAGTGCATGGTGTTTGACATGTTCTTTCGCTGTTGAATGTGTGGTCACTGCCTTCTCAGTTGGCTTGAATCCTAGCGTCTCAGGCTTGAAGGGATATCATGTTCTTTAAGGCATGGGATTATGTCTTGCACCCCTTCAACACTCTCAACTAGGCCTTTTGCATTTTCTACAGTATTCACCACTGTGCTGGGGACTTGGTAGATATTCAGTGAAGCCGCTATTTTATCTAATACGTTTAGCCTGGCATCCCTCTAGTTCTTCAGGGAAAACAATGTAGTATAGCAGGAAGCATTTAATGTTGAAAGTAAAAGAGATCTGCTTTCAAATCCTAGCTAAGAATCATTAGATTATTAACCATATTTACAAATTACCTAACCTGTCTGAACGTCATCTGCAAAACAACCATAAGCCTACGAGCACTTTAGGATTGCAGTGGACATTGGATCAGATCGCATAGAAGATGTGCCAGAGCATAGCAAGGGCACGATACACTTTTAATTATCAGTTAAAACCCAGGCAGTTATATGTGATCACTATTATTATTATTATGTAAAGACAAGTTCCTTATTTGAAGAATTAAGACTAAAACAATCTAAATTTTCTATTAAAAATTGCAAAGCAGGGGCGCTTGGGTGACTCTGTAAGTTACACCTCTGACTCTTGATTTCGGCTTAGGTCATGATCCCAGAGTCATGGGATCAAGCCCTGCATCAGGCTCTGTGCTGACAGCATGGAGCCTGCTTGAGATTCTCTCTCACTCTCTCACTCTCTCTTTGCCCCTCTCCCACTCACATGCACAGATGCACTCTCTCTCTCTCAAAATAAAATAAATGTAAAAAATGTCCAACTATAAATTAAAATACTGAGAAACCGGTTCAATGTCAGATATTTCTGGAAGCAACATTCCTATCATTTCTTATTTATTGGAGATAGATTCTTTTTTTCAACTGTAGCACCCAGCATTCCTAGGTAGTTTCACATCCCATGTACTAACCAGCTCTGACTCTGCTCAGCTTCTGAGATTGGTGTGGTCAGGACGGTATGGCCATAGACCTGGAGGTAGATTTGGATTCTTTGAGAATCTAAATATTCTAGGCCTTATGGTTAAATCAGTCAGCCTCACGGGTGACTCCTGTCTATGAAGTTCAATGTTGATCACAGAATAACACATGATGCAAAGGGGAAAACTTTGTTCTTAGTCATGTTTTCTATGAAGTAAAGCAGAATTTAATAAGAGTATTGTTTAGCTGAGCTTGCATAATTGTTTGTTAAAGCCTTTATCAAGTTTTAGAATGTCATACGTATGTAGAAACATACACAGAACTTAAATGTTCTGTATAAAAATAAGGAAGTAATGGAAACCTCTGCTCAGACTAAGAAATAGCATATTACCAGCCTTCAAAACAGTCCATGTTTTTCTTCACAGTTTTACCACCTATAAATATGTTTCTTATTAATATAGTTTAGGATTTATTCTGTTCTGTTTTAAAGGTTACATAAGTGTTATGATACTATATTCTTTTGTGTCTGACTTTTTTAGGTTTGTCTGCATATATGTATATATATATATTTTTTTTTTGCTGTGTAATATTCCCTTGTATGAATGTAACACAATCTGTTTACCCTTTCTACTATTGATGGACAAGTGAGTTATCTTTACTTTGGGGCAAATATGAACCATGTTGCTATGAACATTCTTGTACATGTATTATGGTTGACAAGGGCAGGAGTTTCTCTAGCTCGATGCCCAGAAGTAGAATTCTGTGTCATGGGATATGTGTAACTTCAAACTTAACAGCAACTTTCAGAAGCATTTGCACTAATCATACTCTCACTAACTGTGGGAATTCCAAGGGCTCCAGATTCTTGCCACACCTGACATTATGAATGCCACACGTGAAATCTATGAACCTGGGGGTGAAATTTCATTGTGGTTTTAATCTGCATTTCCTTAAAGTTGAGGGCCCAAGAATATGCAAATAAAGCAATTAAAATATCCTCTTTTGTTATTTGTGTCTTCAAGCCTTTTGGCTGTATCTCTGCTAGATAGATTTTGTTTGTCTTTTACTTATCTATTTGTAGGAATCCCTTTTGTATTCTGGATACTATTCATTTGTTAGTTGTATGTGCTGCAAATGTCTCCTCCAATTCTGTGATTTGTTCTTTCCCTTTCCTTATGGTTTTTATTGATGAACAACATTCGTAAGTTAAATGTAGTCAATTTATTAATCTTTTCCTTTTATCATTGTGTTTGTGTCGTGTTTAATGAATATTTCTCATTATGGAGACCAGATAGTTTCCTATATTGTTTTCTAAAAGCTGAGACATTTTGCCTGTTACATTGAGGTTTATAGATTGACTCTTTGCTATTGTGTGAGGGAGTGATCCAGTTTCATTTTCCTATTGCTCCGTCACCATATGCGTATTGAATTGCCCCAGCACCATTTATGAAAAAACTGTACTTTCCCCATTGCTCTTCAGTCACACATCAAATTCTTATATATGAATGATACTTTAGGGGCTCTCTTTCCTTTTCCATTGGGCGTACTAATCTTGCTTGAGTAACATTCCTTAATTACTAGCTTTGTAATAAACCTTGGCCATCTGGTAGAAAAGTGCACCCTCTTTGTCCTTCTTTATGAGTGTCTTGTTTACTCTTGGCCCTTCACAATTTATGAATCAATTGTCAAATCACACACACACACACACACACACACACCTAGGCGTGTTGAGTGCACATATACACATACATATGCAAAAACCTGTTTGGAATTTGATTAAAGCTGTAAAGTAGTTTGGGATATCTGACATCTTTGTGATATCAAGTTTTACAAATCACAAACTACATATATTTCTTCATTTATTTAGGCTTCTTTAATGTCTATCAATGAAATGTTATAATTTTCTCTTCAGAATTCTAGCACATCTTTTGTTAGATATATTCCAAAGTATTTAGTTTTTAAAATGCTATTAAAAATGGTATTCTTTTTATGTTTTTACTTTTAACTATTTGTGGCTAGTATATAGAAGTAAAAAGAATTTTTGTAAATTGATTTTATATTCAGTAACTTTTCTAAATTTTTTTAAATGTTTATTTTTTTGCGGGGGAGGGGTAGAGAGAGAGAGAAGGAGACCCAGAATCCAAAACAGGCTCCAGGCTCTGAGCGGTCAGCAAAGAGCCCGACACTGGGCTTAAACTCAGGAATGGTGAGATCATGACCTAGGTCAAAGACAGACGCCCAACCGACTGAGCCACCCAGGAGCCCCTTTTCTAAATTCTTATTAAATATAATTATCTGTAGATAATTTTGGTCTTTCTGCATATATAATCACGTCATCTTCCAATAATGAATTTTGATTTTCTCTTTTCTTTCTTTCTTTTTTTAATCAATCCTTTTAGCTATTACTTCTTTTTCCTGACTTATTGTACTGGTTAAGACCTCTAATGCAAGGTGAGGAGAAAGTAGAAGATAGAAATTGTTGGACATCTTGCCTGGTATTTCCCTCAAAGGAGAAACTTTTAATTTACACATAATTAAAATAATTTCACCATTCTGTGTGTTGTTGATGTATATTTCTTTGTCACATTAAAGATTTTTTTCTTATCATGAGTGGATGTTGAATGTTGTCAAATACCTTTTCTGCATCTA